TCTTTCGTAGGACACGGCGTGGTCTTTATTTATTGCTCTGGCTGTGTTGGTTCAGCTCCTCCGAAGGCGCAAAGACGGTCGAGTTCACAGTCCAGCAGTTCTACTGGTAGGGCGGCGTCCAGGATGCTGAAAAACTCCATCGTTTCGTACGAACTCGCAATTATCCAGAAAGGTTGACCACGCACAACGATCTGCTCAGCTGTCTGTCGCCGTTGACGTCCCTTCTTCTCGTATGGATTCCTCAGCTCTGGGAAGATATGTGCATCTCCCGTGGAAATGTCGCCTGTATCGTTCGTCACTTTCTCGCGCAAGAAGAGTCCGTCATTGGCCTCTACGTTGAGCCTGAGCGGTGGAATGTCGGATGAGAGTTCAGGAGAAGTCTCGGGAACAGCCTCGTATAAGCAACGTGAGCTTCGTTGAGAGGCGGCTAAATGCTGGACAAACTGCGTCATGATCTGTTGGTATTGAGGGAGTTCATCGCTGATGATGACACCTCGAAGACGGTCAAAAGCCACGGAATACCAGAGAAAAGGGGCCGAAACACTGTCCTCTAGTGGATATTCAGGTTCTCGTTGCAGCTTGGATGCAAACTGACGTTGTAGTGCCTCCATACGCTGATGACGCAGCGCTTTTGAGGTCTTCAGATACGTCTCGAGGTGTTGAGTGCAAAATGTTGCGAGATGTTCGATGCTGTGTTGGTTAACGCTGTCAGTTAAGTGCTTGGCCCACTCGACATCGTCGACGTTGCCTTCGAACTCCAGTTTTCGTTCTACCAGATACGCCAATTGAAGCTGCATTTTGCACGTGAGGAACTATTGGAGATGTGCCTTGATTCATGTAGTAGACGTACGTTGTCGTGAGTGACAATGAGGAACGCGTGTCGCTTTGGGTATTCACCATGGCGAGCGAAGCGAAAGTCATGCAACTCCAAGGTATCGAGACGTGTGGGTGATCCCTCACCTGCTTCCACGCAAAAGCATTAAAAATAACTGGGATCGACCACAAGAATATTAAGACAGCGTACTGCTCATGGGAGGCAATGTGACAGTGGAGTCGGGTGTGAAATTATCTCCAGCTAGTAGCCATTGGAAGAGCAACTGAAGGAAATCACTGCGAATGGTCGAGAAAGTGAGTTGCTTGCTGTTGTACACAAGACAAACGACATCACGTTGTCAAAATTTGGGAAAGTTGGTGGTTTATAACAGCGGCAACTCACCGATAGAAGATGCAGCGACCAAGGAACGAATGCTGTTTGTTTACACAAACTGTCAGCTATCAACTGAGTCTTTGGATTATGCTGATGAGTACCTGCTGAGTAGGAGTTGTGGTATCACCGAAGGGCATATCCAGAACTGCTAGTTTAGCCTAGAGACATCCACCAAATTGTTAAATTTACTGAGCATTCAACAACAGCGTCATACATTACCATGGTTTCCAGTGGATAGTTTACTGCTGGAACCCGACCGTCGAACGCAAAGTGGAGGTTTGAACCGAAACTCAAGTCTGCGTAGTAAGGAGAAGTACGAACCATAATTTAGTACAGAACGGTTTGAGACCGAACGAAGAACTACCATGTCGAATAATAGAGAAGATCCCTTTGAAGACGGCGTCTAACTCTGCATTGAGTGCAGTAGTGCTTATTGAGCCTCCATCTCGGCGTCGCCATTGATTAAGTTTTGCGGCTGGATATCCAAAAAGACTCAGAACTAGGTCGCAACTTGAGCGTGTATAATACTTAGACAACGTTGGTTAGCGAACTCTGTCAAGTAGAATGAAGTCGAAAGGTATTTGTTTGTACCTGGACAACGGAATCCGGTAGATCTGCGCAGGAGAAAACTAGTGCATACAGCACTTCGTACATGTTAACGAAGCCCACGATTCCAGTCGAGTCTCCCATCCCGAACCGCGCGAATTGCAGCGACTCGCCACACAGCGAAGTCGTAGCTCCTACTGCAGCAGCCAACACACCCCGCAGGTCCAACCACTGCCTAGTTTTCGCCTCTACAGGTGTCGTAGAAGGTGAGAAGCAGCCGACGCCATCTTGGCAGTGCACATAGTGGTAAAGCGTGTTGTCTTCGCCCTCTTTCTCGGTCGTGTCTAGAAGCAGAACCTCCATTTTGACCCGATTAAGATCTGTGAAGCGGCGCTCCACGACGACTCACGACTGTGAAGGATGGTGCTTCATGATCAAGTAGATTGGCGAAACCTCGAGGATTCATTGGCGCTAGATGTCAGTCTCGTCGAGTCGGTCTTCTACAATCTCTGCAACGTTTACAACAACCGACAGCATGACCGTGAACGGCGCCGAAGGACTCAAGATTCAGCCTCCAACAATGACGAAGATCAACGCAACCAACTTGATGATAAACTGTTTGCCAAAGCAGACGTGTTGTTGGCACTGGAAAATACAAACGGGTATCTCGAGAAGCGTCCGTGGCTGCGAGTTCTGCATACTCGACTGGCTTGTATATCGTTTGAGAAGGAAGGAGCTAGCTTACACGACTTTGTACGTTGTCGTCAACGAGACCGTACGGTGTGTCTACGTGACGTTAAACGTCGGCTTGAAGACATTTACACCGATGCTAAACTCTCGATGGAAGTTGAGGAGAATCACAAGAAGTTCGTCGCTCAAGCTCGAGCTGTGTCTCCGTGGTGTGTTCGAAATCCAAAATGGTTGCATTCTTCTCTAGCTCGACAGCTCTACGGTGTTCACGTTCTACCTCCTCGTCGTGTGACGGAGGGAGAGTTGCAAGCGCAGCGTGATTGTATCGCGAGTCACGCGCGTGCAGTTGTCGGTGCTGCTGTGGGTGTTGTTATGGACAAGATACTAGCGCCTTATCTAACTCGTCCTAAGACAACTGGGAGACGCACGGGTCGACGCCATGCTGTGGATTCTGCAAGAGCGAGTCCAAGTCAGCGCCAAGCTAAAGTCAAACGCGAACAAGTTGAACGTGACAGACAGTTGCGAGCTCTGCGATTGGACCTGCTTGCTCCCACAGCAAATTTCACTTCAAGTAATGAAGTTGAGGTTACGAAGAAGAGTAAGGAAGACATTGCTCGAGTGATGACACAGCTAGCGACGGTGGAAGCTCAAGGCGACATTCGGTTGGCACGTAAATTACTCGACCACACTATTGTTCACTCTGGGTTGCGTCGTGCAGCTGAACAAGCTAAAC